CCGGCCTCCTGCTTCTCGCTCTGAAGCTGCGGGACGGACGCTCCCAGGAACTCTCCCGCTCGCGGCCGGCCGCGCTCGGACAGCGCTCGCCGGCTGCCGAGCGGTCCCAGCATGTCGGCAGCCGTGGCGTGTCTGGACTACTTCGCCGCCGAGTGCCTGGTGTCCATGTCCGCGGGTGCCGTGGTTCACCGCCGCCCGCCGGACCCCGAGGGCGCCGGCGGAGCCGCAAGCTCAGAGGTGGGTGCGGCGCCACCGGAGTCCGCTCTGCCGGGTCCGGGGCCACCGGGGCCCGCGTCTGTCCCCCTGCTCCCCGCCCCTAGCCCCGGCGCGTGCAGCGCGGCGCCCCACCTGCTGGCTGCAAGCGTCTTGGCTGATTTGCGCGGCGGCTCTGGGGAGGGCTTCGGGGAGAACTCGGGGGAAGCTCTGCGAGCCTCGTCCGGCTCCTCTGACCCGACCCGGTGCTCCAGCCCGACCCCGCGCTCTGAGTCGTCTCCAGCCTCCAGCGCAGCTGCGGTCTCCGGACCCGCGAGCTCCCCCGATGCACCCTCGGTCCTGGGCGAGCCCGCAGCCTCTGGGGGGGGTTCGGGAGGGGCCCCAGGGCCTGGCCCCGCCCCCGCCGCGGGTCAGGTGCTCCGGAGGAGGCCTGTCACACCTGCTGCCAAGCGACATCAATGCCTCTTCCCGGGATGCAACAAAGCTTATTACAAGTCATCGCACCTCAAGTCCCACCAGCGTACCCACACGGGGGAGCGCCCTTTCTCCTGCGACTGGCTCGACTGCGACAAGAAGTTTACGCGTTCCGACGAGCTGGCCCGCCACTACAGGACGCACACAGGCGAGAAGCGCTTCTCCTGCCCCCTCTGCCCCAAGCAGTTCTCCAGGAGCGACCACCTGACCAAACACGCTCGCCGCCACCCAACCTATCATCCCGACATGATTGAGTACCGGGGGCGACGTCGCACTCCACGTGCCGACCCTCAAGCCTCAAGTGTGGTGGAAAGGTCCGACTCCAGCCCCAGCCAGGCGCCCAGCCGCAGCACATGCCTGTAGGACAGTCAACTGCTTTCAGTACCCTAAAGGACGGTCCCCCAGGCTATTTTCCCTGCTTTCTCTCTGCGCATCCCTCTTTTCCAGAGTCATTAGATCAAGGCACAGACTGGTTCCTCGCTCGGATGGTGGGTCCAGGCAGGCATGTTGGACTCTGGGGAGGGACTGGGGGCCAGAAACTAGCAGAAATTCTTGCGACACGCTTACCATCCTAAAAGGGAGGATTGCCTCAAGACAGCCCCAGGAACTGGTGAGAATGGATGAACTCTGGTACTCTTCATAGTACTGAAGATCGTCCCCCTCCCTGGGACCAGGGATGTGAAACTGGAATTCTCAGATGCCTGAGGAGCTCCCAGTCTCAAAGTACTCTGGTGTCTCACCCACCCACCAGGGCGGACCTTGGACAGGGTGTCAAGGGTGGCAGTCTTGGAAATGTCCAGGACTGGGATTGATGAGAGGCCTTTGGAAACAGAAATTATTTCTATTTCTGTAAACAGCAATGTTTACTAATTTATTTTTAGTATCTTTTAAACAAGGATCTCAGGTTGATGGGAGACTGATGTCCTCCACTCCCCCAATTGCCACAGCTACCTCTACCAAGAGAGGCCATGTAAGCGTCCATGTGGATGTATGGCTGAGAGATGCTTCTTGGTGTCTGGGGAGTGGTGTGAGTCTGTCTGCAGGTCCTATTGTGTGATTGTAACCCTGCACTTGCGTCGTAGCCCTTCTCCCCATTTGGATTCCTGCTTGGGGATGGTAACTTTCCTGGCTCTTTCTCACAATGAAATTGGTTAAAGAATTTGAAAAACAGCCCTAAAAGTACCAGAAGGAAAGGGGTGGTCCAGAAGGAAAACCCAAGCAACATTGGGGTAGGAGAGGTCCAGAAAAAGACTTTTTAGAACTGTTGATGACTTTCAGGGAAATAGGGGCATGTGGTCCCAGCTGCTCCCACCCCAAGTATTCTCAGGAATGGTAGATTCTGTTCAATTCTTAGTTGGCTAACTAGGGGTTTATTTCCCTCAGGGTCTGTGAATTTTTGTTTCTGTAACAAGCGAGTTTGTGGATGGGAGAGGGGAAAGTGAGAGGCTAGTTTCTTGGATTTGAGGAAGGAGCAGCAAGGTGATAGTTATTATCGAATAGGGGATACTTTTCCTCTGTTTGGGGAGTTCCTCCAAGTTACATCCTCAAGACCCCTCTCTTCCCATGAAGGAATCAAACAGTATTTATTTTTTGTATATGTGTCTCTGCTGCTATGGATGAAATCACCGACAACTATGCTTGTTATGGATGAATGTGTATACATGTAACCTTTTCATTAGAGATAAGGCTGAAAGACATTCCCTGCCTATGTGAGGTCCCCTCTAGTTCCCTCCTGAATATCTTGTAGTAGTCCACCAGTCACACTTGTGGAGTATGCCATAATCTCATAGGACCGTAGCATGCATTTGGTTAAACAAACTTCTTTTCTCTGTTTTGCAGATGAAGATACTGATGCCTAGATAAGCTCAAAGTCGTATACTGAGTTGCTGACAGGAGCCTTGACTAGAACTTAGGTGTCTGGCCTTCTAAGTGACTCTTTCCCTTGCACTTGTTTACCCTTTCTCTTCCTCCTCTCTGGGCCTTTAGTCAAAGGATTCCTCTCTACTTTCCCACTGCCAGGATCTCATCCCTCTGTATTTCCTATCAATTTTATGTACCTTCAAATGTTGAGGTCCCATTGAGCACTTTTCCTGTTGTGTTTGATCCAAAATGCCTTTTCTTAATAGTTTAAGTCTATTCCCTCCCTTCATACTATGTGGACTTACAGTGAGAAGGACTCTCTGGCATCCTGGAAGAGACTTTATCTTTGGACCTGCTAAGTTAGTTTTCAATGTCAATTCTTTTTTTCTGGTCCTAGGCATTCCAGCATCCTTGAGAGAATGAATGATACAAACACGGCAATGGGATTCTCTCTAGTGCTCCTAAACTTAAGTGAGAGGGAGTCCTTAGAACCCAAAGAGTATGGCCTGTGACCTCAAAGACATTTGGTATTTTCTGATGAAGGGTAAGCAGGGTAGGTGGTGCTGTCCTTGAGTTACATATTGGAAGAGGAGGTCTCCAGTTGTGGAGGGAATTTTTGGTAGTAGAAAAAGTTGTCTCTTTGCTGTTTCCTCAGATAAGGCTGGATAGGTAGGGCACTAGGGGCCCCTTGAATGGCTCTGATTTCCCCTTTGTCCTTCTCAGTAGAAGATGTGTATCATAGGGTAAGTAGAACAAAGAATCTAAAAGGAAAGGAATTCCCACTAACCATTCTGGAACTGGGCTCAAGAAAGCTTGGCTTTTCTAGCCTTATTTGGGTTCTTCTGTCTTGGGGACTTTGGTCTGGGGATGGCCTCTGACAACCTGTGACATGTCTTTCATTAACAGAACTGACTCCTTTCAGGTCTTAGAGCGATGGGGAGGGAAACACCAAGGACACCAGAGTAGCCAGATAATGGAGGCAAAATTTTTATGCTATTCTTTCTTAGTCTTGATATTGTTGTTATCCTTTTCACTCTAGTGGCCAATTTTTGAGTAGTTATTAGTAAAATGCTATGGAACCATCTTCCGAGTTTTATTGGTGTTTCTTTTGCTTCTTGAACTGGGTGAGTGAATTTGTTTGGAAATTGGTTGGTGTCAGCCTGAACCTCTGGACCATTGCCCCCACCATGCTACCCCCATATCTGATGTAGGAATGATCTACTAACACAACTCTTCCTGAAATCTGGAAAGTGAATGATCTAAGTCACACCTTGGGTGTGAGATCCCCTGCTCCTGCTGGAAGGATGCGAAGGCTTTGCTTCTACCCATGGGAGCAAGAATATGTCATTTATCCCTATATCTCTGTTCTCTAAATAGGGAACCATATCGGAATTTCACTCTCAGCCCCTGTCTCTACTTCTTACTCACTTTTCCTAAAAGGGAAAAAAGATTTTGTTCACTGAATGGAGAAATAGGAAGGAGAGTCATTATACACACACTTCGAGTTATTTATTTATTTATTTATTTATTTATTATTTTAGTCTGAGTCTCATTTTATTGCCCAGGCTAGAGTGCCGTGGCATCAGCGTAGCTCACAACAACCTCAGACTCCTGAGTTCAAAAGATCCTCTTGCTGCAGCCTCCCCAATAGCTGGGACTACAGGTGTCCACCATAACACCCAACTAAATTTTGTGGGTTTTTTTTTCTTTTTTAAAGTAGAGATAAGGTCTCATTCTTCCTGGTCAAGTGATCCTCCTGCTTCAGCTTCCCAGAGTGCCAAGGTTACAGGTGCGAGCCACATACTCCAAGTTCTTTTATATTTATTTATTTATTTATTTTATTAAATTTTTTTTTTTTTGAGACAGAGTCTCATTTGTCACCGTTAGTAAAGTGCCCTGACATCACAGCTCACAGCAACCTCAAACTCTTGGGCTCAAGTGATTCTCTTGTCTCAGCCTCCTGAGTGGCTGGGACTACAGGTGCCCACCACAACGACTGGCTATTTTTTTTAGAGATGGGGTCTTGCTGTTGCTCAGGCTGGTCTCTAACCTGTGAGCTCAGGAATTTACCTACCTTGGCCTCCCAGACTGCTAGGATTACAGGTGTGAGCCACACACTCCAATTCTTTTATCTTTTTGTACCCCTCTAGTTGCAATTTGCATGCGTTCCACTCAGATTCTGTTTTCATATGATAAGCACACTTGTTGAGGCCCAGGCCTGTCTTCCAGAAGCACTTCTCTCTGCTCCTACTCTGTGGGCAGCCATGCAACTTGCTGCTATCCAGGTAAGTGTTTCATTGTGTATTTTCTTTTGAGTGCATCTTCCTAATATTAGGAAGGGTAGAGGAGGCAATTTATATAGTATTAGAAAACCCAATTTTGACCATGATATGGCTTCATCAGCAAAATACTTATATTTTTATCCAAATTAATCTGACTTCTATCTCTATTACTCATTTGGTTGAAAAGTTAGAGGAGAAAGGGATATGATTAATTTTATCCCTTTAACTCTGTTACATTCAAATGTGCATTGACTGTTAAATCTTGAGGCACTTCAACTGGAATTTGGGGAACAAAATGAGATGTGTGGAGGTGGAATGTCTAGTGTGCCAGGGCATTGGGCTTTCATGTTTAGTGATCTTGGGCCTTTCAGTTCTTTGGCCTTTTCAAGTCTTAGAAACTTATGATAGGTAGCTAGCATCTACACACAAGCTACTAGTTTTTTAGAAGACCTGGGCATAGACCATAAAAGTCGAGCTGTATAGGCTGCTATGGCTGATTCTGTTTAGCATGGATATAGGTAAGACAGGCTTGTTGTAGAAAGGGAAGGCAATATTGAATGGGTTAATTTGTACTGTTTTTATTCTCAGCAAGAATTGCACATGAGGTGAGGACTTCAAGAAGCAGTGGCATAAGTACTTAAAAATACATGTTGGAGAGATTCTAGCCCTAAAATTGTGCTAGAATTATCAGGTAGCATTAGCTATTCCCCCTTAATCTTGATTTGAATTGTACCCTTTATTAGAGCCCAAGAGAAACCAATGGGAGGGTCTGAGTTCTTTAATTCATATGGAGAATCCAAAGTGACCTTCTATTTATGCCCCAAGTTGGTGTCAGATGTGTTGATTATATAAGCCCCCAAAATGGAATCTCAAAGACTCAGCTCAAATATCCTGTGTGTTCAACCACAGAGAAGTAGTGGATTTCTGGTAATGGAAAATGGAAGTGTTTTTTTGGTATAGGTTTGAGGAATAGGCAAGAAATGCTATTATAATCCCTAAGTCAGGAAGAGTTAATTAAGAAGGGTTGTGCCTGTATTCTTCTCTCCCTAGGAATCAGATCTATTCAGGAAATCAAATAGGAATCATATTTGTTACAAATATACATTAAAATCTTGAAGTCAAAATAGAAGCAGTGGAAGGGTGAAAAATGAATAAAAGAAGACGGATTAATAAAGCTAGAGGAAGTCTTCTTTAAACGAAAGTCTGTGTTTTAGAGGGCAATATTGGTGATAGGAAAGGAAAAATAAGTAAGACCAGATTCATCTTTAATGAATCTTAAAGATGGGATTATAAAAGAGGATCGCATTTTAATCATTATTGGTTAGAGGAGGTAATTTAAACCTTAAGAGATATAACAGAAGAATTTGAGCAAACTTTCAGAGAGAAAACATGAATGTCCACCTCCACCAGAGATTTCATATTCAAGAAAATATTGAGAAATACCTACCTGAGTTTGCAGAGAAATAGTAGCTGGTTACAGAAAATGTACACAGTACTTCCCAGCACTTTAAACTTAGTTAGTTTCAGTAACATTACTATTGTCCATGGGAATATAGGTATGGCTTGGGGAATATACAGAATTAGATCCTTAAAGGAAAGTATAGGAAGATGAAACATGAAATATATCAAATTAGTTAGTCAAATTAATAGAAATTTGGAAGAAAAAAGCATGATCTTAAAGAATTTCCTGCGTAAGTATTTGTTAAAACTCAAT